TATACATGCATATGAAGGTCAGTGGTAGAAGTGCAGTGTGTTTTTCATGATTCCTGTACCCTAGATTTTGAAACAAGGTCTCTCATTGCAGTTGGAACCCATGGATTTGGCAATGAATCTGCAAATCCATCTGTTGGTGGAGGGCACTGCTTGTTGTTTCCCACTGCCTAGCCACAAAATAACCACATAGAAATTGCATTATTTGCCATACTGTTTGGACAATAACTTAAGCATATTTCTGGCTAATTCATATCCTAAACTTACCCATCTCTATTAATTTGTGTTTTGCCACGTGTCAGTGGCTTACCAGGAAATGTTCCCAGTGTCTGTCTCAGGCGGAGGATCCATGGCTTCTCTCTGACTCTGCCTTCCTACAGTCTAACTTTTCATGAATGTTCTGTTCTTCACTGTCCTGCCATAGGCTCAAAGCAGTTTCTTCATTCATTAATGGTAATCACAACACACAGATGGGAGTCCCACATCAAGTTTTCTCTCTGTCTCTGTCTCTCTTTCTCTCTCTGTCTCTCTGTCTCTCTCTGTCTCTCTGTCTCTGTCTCTGTCTCTCTCTCTCTCTCCATGTGTGTGTGTGTGTATGTGTGTGTGTGTGTGTGTGTGTAATTGTACTGGTGTGTGCCATGGTGCAGTACGGTAGTGAGAGGAATACTTTGGGTATTATTGCTTGCCTTCCACTCTGTTTGAGGCAAGGTCCTATACACAGCTGTGTTTACCTGTGTGTCTGGCCTGCAGGATTCTGGCTGTTCTGTCTCCTCCTGCCTTTTGACCAGAGGGGCATGCTGGGATTACAGACACTCACATTATGATTCTGCCTTTTACATGGCATGTGGCAACCTGAACTTGGGTCTTTGATTTACACAGTTAGCACTCTAGACACTGGGCCATCTTGACAACTCTCTGTATTGGTGAGTTTTATGTCAACTTGACCATACCCTAGCGTTATCTTAAAAGAAAGAACCACAATTGAAATAATGCATCCACAGGATTGTCAGAGGGCAAGTCGGAGAGGGTATTCTTTTGATTCCTGACTGATGTGGGATGGCCCAGTGCATTGCGGGTGGGATCACCCCATTGTAGGTGTCCTAGTTCTTATAAGAAAGCAGACAGTGCAAGCCATGAAAAGCAAGCCAGTAGGCAGTGTTCCTTCATGGCTTCCATATCAGCTCCTTCTCCAGGTGCCTGCCTTGAGTTCCTGCCCTCAATTCCCTGTATGATAGACTACAAGTTGGAAGATAAAATAAATCTTTATTTCCCCAAGTTGCTTTTAGTCATGGTGTTTTACCACAGCAATAGAAACCCTACCTAAGACATGCTCCATGCTTTGAAGCTTCTGTGGGTGCTAGAGATCTGAAATCAGGATCTCATGTTTGTGTGATGGGCTCTTTACTGGCTGAGCCAACTCTCCATCCCCCTTCTTTGTTCTTTTCTTCACACATCTGTGTCAGCTGAGTGATAATGACACCAATGAGTCCCTTACAGTCCATGTCTTCTACTGATGGACCAAGAGCAAACTCATTTCCAGGGCATGAAACCAGGCGAGCTAACACCTAGAAAGGCTGAGTCTTTGGTCCTATGACAGGCTAGATGTCCCAGAGTCTTCTGACAAGCTGTCATGCTCAAGGGGTGGGCACAAGGATCTTCAGGAAGAAATAGATGAGGAGGTCAAAGATGAACCGAGCTCTTCCTCACTGCTCTGTATTCAGAGAATGGGAACCATTGGGGAGTCAGCTTCCAAATGCAGATTGGGAAGAGGGATGAGATGAATAGGGGGTTCATGAATCCTAGAGGCTGATGTAACAAAAGGTCTCTGGATGACCTAAGGCCATCAAAGGCTCAGGGATCATGCAGAGGGACAAAGTTACAAGAGACAGAACTTGGTGAAAGGCAAACCAACTTGATTGCATCCCTTCTGAAGTCTTATCCACGCACCATCAACACCACTCCTGACTGCCCAGTGGAAGGAAACTGGCCATTGGCTCATCTTTGGAGTCATAGTTGATGTGTTCTTAGCTGAACTGAACTCCTATTTTCTATTGTTCAATCCTTCCCGTATTTCAGCTATACCTGCTTGGGTTCTTCTTCTGTGCCTCACTCTGTTCACAATGACAAGAAGACAAGCATAGTGGATCCAAGGTAGAAATATTCAAGGAACTGGTATACACTGGCCCAAATTCATAGCTAAACTGGGAAGCCTGCCCCCTTTTAAAAAAATACTTTATTTTTTTAAAAATATTTTTTCATTTATTTTACATACTGAGCACAGTTTTGCTTCCCTCCTCTCCTCCAATTTCCCCCCACGTTCATATCCCATCTACCCACTTTCCCATTCATGCTTCCTCCATCCCCATTTAGAAAGGGGCAAGCCTCCCTTGGGCTTGAATGAAGCATGGCACATCAAGTTGAGGCAGGCCATTGGTCCTCCCCTTGTATTGAAACTGGACTAGGTAATCTAGCATGGGGAACAGGTTTCCAAATTCCAGTTAAATGCTAGGGGCAGGTATTGATCTTGCTGCTAGGAGTCTTACAAACAGACCAAACTACACAACTGTCACATATATAGAGAGACTAGGTTAGTCCCATGCAGACCCGCTAACAGTTGATTCAATGTCTGTGTGCCCCTGTCCCGCGCTTATCTGCGAAACCTCACTCTCCAGTACGGGGCACGCTTCCCATATTGAACTGTGAGTCTGGATTAATATCCTAGGAGTTGAAAACAGACACACAGAGAGACCAGATTCATTTGCCCAAAGGGTAAATGACAACTTTATTCAGCACATGTCGGCTTAAATACTGGGAGGCAAGAGGACGAAAGCCCCCTCCCACCTGGGAGTGAGATCATAGTGTTGACCGCTTGGCGCCAGCAGCTGGAGCCTCCATGTAGGGGGTATCAAGCTGGGAACCCTGACAGACAGATGGGAGGAGATTTAGGGCGCCTGTGAGGACCTTCCTTAGCAGGTGAAATTATCATAGCAAAGACAGAAACAAGACTTTGAACTAATTCCCTCCAGCTGGCAGAATGAGCAGGGGAAGCTAAGCTGGTTAGCATAAACATCCTGTGCTTTGGCCTCAAGGAACAGGGAAGACAGGGCCCTACATGCCCCCACTAGGTTAGGTCAGCTGTCTTTGTGGGCTTCCCTGTTATGACATTGACTCCCCTGGCTCATGCAATCCCTCCTCCCTTCCTTCATGAGGAGTCCAGGAGTTCTGCCCAATGATTGGATCCCTGCTCCCCTTAATGCCCTCTGTGCTACTAAATGAAATACACCTATGTAACATGAAGGGGCCTGCTTGTTGGAGTTTTCTGTCCTGCCCAGTTCCCACAGCTGTTTAGCCCCAAAGAAAATCACACAGAGGTCTCCATAAGTTATAAAACTGATTGGCCCATTATCTTAGACTTCTTATTAGCTATTATAACTTATATTAACCCATTATTCTGACCTATTTTTGCCACATGTCTCAGTACCTTCTTCAGCTGGCAGGTAACATCCTGCTTCCTCAGTGGTCTGCGCAGGACTGGGAGGAATCAGCTTCCTCTTTCCCAGAATTCTCCTGTTCTCATTGCATCATCTCTACTTCCTGTCTGGTTTTCCCGCCTATACTTCCTGCCTGACCAATCAGCGTTTATTTAAAACATGATTGACAGAATACAGACAAATCTCTCGCGCCACACCTGTGCTGTAATGTGGAGTCTACACCAAAATGACCAGGGAAATGACAGTGGAAAACTAGCAAATGGAAAAGATTTAGGAACACATCACTTTGTGCATGAGGGTACCCATGGTAGATATGGGTGAGCCAGCCTTCCACTCCTGTAACAGGAGAATCCAAGACATTCTAGGTACAGAGAAGGAGCTAAGGTTGATTATAGCTAAGGTTCAGAAATGTTTGTTCACACCTGTTACCTTAGCTACTTTAAGTGTCATGTGACAAAGGACCGTCTAGGGACAACCTGAAGACAGATTTTCTTTTTGACTCCAGAGTCAGAGAAGTTAGGTAAGGCATGCCTTAACAACATTGTTTTCAACCCTTGTTTTGTTCTATTGTTTTTTTTTTGTTTGGTTCTGACACAAGGGGTTTAGTACCCCCGAAGTGGCCTTGAATTTGTTATGTGGCAAGAACAATCTTGGATTCTTCTAGCCTTTTGAATGCTGGAATTATAGGAATGCTTCACCATGCCCAGTTACTACTTCTATCCTTTAGATAAAAGTTTTATGTATTTAGTTTAACATGAAGGACCAGCTTGTTGGGGTATCTGTCCCACCCAGCACCCCACAACTGGCATACCCCAAAGAAAATCATGCACAAGACTCCATAAGATTATAAAACTGATTGGCCCATTAGCTCAGTCTTCTTATTAACTAATTCTTACATCTTACGGTAACCCATAATTCTTGTCTGGTTAGCCATGTGGCTCAGTACCTTGTCCAGCTGTCAGCTCACATGTTGCTTCTTCGGTGGTCTGGGCAGGAATGGCGGAGGCAGCTTCCTGCTTCCCAGAATTCTCCTTTTCTCATTGCATCACCTCTACTTCCTGTCTGGTTTTCCCATTATACTTCCTGCCTGGCCAATCAGCATTTATTTAAAATATGATTGGCAGATTACAGACAATTCTCCCACATCAATTTAGGGCTGAAGAAATGGCTCACTGGTTAGGAGCACTACCTGCTCTTCCAGAGGACCAGGGTTCCCAGCATCTACATGGCAGCTCACAGCTGTCTAGAATTTCAGCTCCAGGAGATCTGACACTCTCATACAGAAATGCATGCAGACAAAATACCAATGCAAATAAATTCTTTTATAAAATTTTAATTTAATAAAATAAAAATTTTAAAAAGTAAAAATAATTTTTAAAAAAAGAAAAGAATTTTATTTAGGCCTTGATTGCTAAATGCCAACTCAACCTTTAATGACAGATTTCAGATTGCCGTTAACCTGAGCATAGAATGTTATGCCCTGGTGTTTGCCATAGGCACTTTTATTGCCTTGGTGATTCAGGCCATCATGACTGTGATTGTGGCAGATCAAAGAGGGCTCCACTTGCCAGTCACCACTCAGGTAAGCACAGGACTCCTGGTTCCTCTTGACATAGTAACTAGGAATATAGAACAGCTAGGTTGCTTCCAAGATCATAAAATTCACAACATGGAAGGCTTTAAAAATTCTTTGGCTATGAAAAATTTAAAATTAACAGCCCTTAATTATAACACCAACTGAGTTTAGATCAACTAGATTTATAGCTACCTGAAGAAGGCAGGTAAGAAGAAACCTCAGCTTTTACAAGTCATTACACTGAATCAGCCTTCAGACACAGAACATAGACAAAACCCCAGGAGCTTCTGGGGTTTCCCTCCATCACTGCTGAGGTAGCTAGGATTGAACCTAAGCAGCTGCCTGTTGCAAAGGCAGACCCTTAGTCACTGCTCCATATGCTTACCCTCTTAACCTTAGTTCATTTGAGATAGAAGAGTCCAGTCAGAATAACCCATATTAAGTTCTGGGTCTCAGTTACTCCATAATTCAATCAAACAAGGAAGGTTGCTATATATTACCAATGATATGAGCGGCCAGATTTTATAAATAGCTAATCGTTTTCTTCCAGTTTTTAGTTTATGGAAGTTACTTTGCTGTCATTGCTGCGGTCTTCCTGATGAGAAGCACATACATTATCTACTCAGCCAAGTGCCGAAAGGAAGTGGAGAGCCTTGCCGCCGCCACTCAGAGTCCCAATGAGCCACACCCACAAGAGCCAAGAGATGTGTCAACAAAGTTCTAACCCAATTACATCACCTCCAGTCACAAAAGGGAAGGATTTCGAGATGGGCAACCAGAAGTGCCTTGCCACACCCAGAAACTCTGCCAGTAATGATTCAAAAACCACAACCAAACCTCAGCTTCAGGCTAGATGTCTCTGTGTTCAGCTAATTGCAGGCACTCCAGATAGGCCATCACCGCTGTATTAGTTACTTTCTGGATGCTAGGAAAATACCTAACAAAATGCAACTTAAGGGAGGAACACAATTTGTTTTGGTTCACAGTTTTGGAAGGTACATTCCGTCATGGGAGAGAAGGCGTGGCTGCAGGGGAAAGTGGCTGCTGGACTCATTGCATCTGCAATCGGGAAGTTGAGACAGTGAAACCTGGTGTCCAGATCATTTCCTATTCAGCATCCTACTCCAGGCAGGGGGATGGTGCTACCCACATTGAAGATGAGTCTTCTCTCCTCAGCTAACCCAATAGAGATAATCCATCACAGATTATGCTCGAAGAGGCTTACATCTTCAATGACCCTAGATCCGTCAATTTGACAGTATTGACTATCAATACTAGCAACTGAACAAGTTGTGTTGGGAAATCCCCCAAGAATAGCAATGACTTGGAAATTCTAGTTCTGATGAGTTCGAAGAACAAGTGAAGGTAAAGGAAACAAGCCATGAAGAAACGTAAGTCTCCTAATGGTGATGATCCCTGAGTGCGCACAGTTACCCACAGGACTGACCTGTAACAGGCTTACATACTTCACGGATCTAAAAAGGCAGCACTTGTATATATTACATTTTATATTTTTTTCTTAAATGCATGAGTGAAAACCTAGCCACTAGGGTAAATGTTAACAATGAAATTGTCACTCATACCTGCTGGGAGGAGAAAAATCAGTTTTCTCCCGTAGAGTAACATTGAGTATATCCACTACTCCAGGACAAGCTTCATGTTCAGGAGTAGCTGGCCAAAATATAATGAATTCTGAAAGTTTTTTGTGTATATGTTTTTATTTGATTATAGATGGTGTTGTGTTGTGTTTTGTCTTTTAGGGAGTGGTTTTATTTTGTTTTCTTTGGGGTATTTTGTTGTTGTGTTGGTTTTTTTTATTTGTTTTTGAGTTTTTTGTGAGAAAAAAAAATTAAAGTTGGGCCATTAGGGAGGAGGAGGAGATCTGGAAAGACTTTGAGGAGGAGAAAAATATAATCGACATATATTTGAATTAAAAAAATTACATAATAAAAAATAAGAAGAACTGGGTCAGCAGGATGGCTCAGCAGTATGGAGTCCACCAAAACTGTCAGCTTGAGTTCAAGCCCCGGAACCTCTATGGTGGGAGGACCAAAAACCCTGAAGTCATTCTCTGGTCACCACCACACGGTCCCGTGTGCATGGAGCCCTCCCCACCCTGCTCCACCCCACCCCTCCGAGCAAGAGGTATTTGACTGAGGCTGTAAACACCTTCCATTTCTTCCTATTTCCTAGTTTCAGTTTAACATTTATTTTTTGCATATTATCTGTACTCAACTTCAATTGTTTGTTTTGTGTGAGCTTGTATCTTTCCAGAACATATTTTTTATGTCTGTCTTTTTCCCATTTCTATTTTTTATCTTATCCCTCATACTCATAGCCAATGTACATTATATTTCCTTATCATTTACACTTTCCTCTCTCTTTTCCTCTTTTTTCCCAACCCTTCCTTAATATCTGTAGCTGTAGAAACTACATTTTCCCCACTTGATACCCAAGTGCTATAGTCTGAAACTTCTTGGGGACACACCTGAGATGGAAATGAAGACAGACATGACAAGAAAAATCACAATATCTGAGAAAAAAAAAGCAGGTCATCCATGGTTCCAGCTTGTTTGTGCCTTCTGCTTGTTTCTATGTAAGCCTTGTCTTGTGTGAAATATTAAGGCTTGGTTTTAGAAGCTGGAGCTGAAGAGGCATGTAAACTGTTTAAGGCCTTAAGAAGAATCACACACTAAGGCAGGGTGGGCAATACGTCAGGGAAGTGTCAATCATGAGAGATGGAAACATGGACGGTGGCTATAAATCCCACAGGTGTCCAGAGGGCTTCCCTACACCTCTCTGCTTACATCACAGTATTCTCGGGGCAAAACCATTGCTGTCTTTGCCACCCCCACCCATTCCTTCAGTTTGATTAGTACCTTCTAGCACAATGTAAACTAGCCAAAAGGAAGAACATTTCCTGGTCAGTTGGAAACTGACTTCTCAATGTTCTGTATGTAACCAAGGTGGGTGGTATCTTCAGAATTAAGGTCTTACCATTTAGTTATGATTGGCAACCAAGGACAATGGCAATAGTCTGTATTATTCCGGGTTTTCCAGGGCCTCTCTGACCAATAGGGAGGTAAGTCTATGCCTGGTGCTAAGAATTACTTGAAAAAAAAAAATCAATGTCTCCTGGAAGCACTATTGTCACCAATGGAGAAACCTCCACTACCACTCCCATTTTCATCTGTAGGTTGATTAGCTTACAAGCTAGGAGATTTCCCTAAGGATTCTATATTCACCCTTAACTTTGGTTAACCTTACCTTTCCCTGTCCCATCTACCCATACTGGTTTATTCTTTTTTTTTTCAAAGTTTATTAAATTATGAAAGTTTCCATTTCCGCCCCTCCTCCCAACACTCTCCCACTCCCCCCTTCCCCCTCCTCCTCCCTCTCCATCCCTAAGAGCAGTCAGGGCTTCCAGCCCTGTGGGAAGTTCAAGTTTCTCCCCCTTCCTTCCACGTCCCAGAAGGTGAGTATCCGAACAGACTGGATCCCAAAAATCCAGTATATGCAGAGGAAACAAGTCCCAGTGTCATTGTCAGTGGCTTTTCAGAAAGGCTCCAGGCCAGCCACATTCAGAGAATCCGGCCACATTCAGATAATCTGGTTGGATCACATGCTCGTTCAGTCCCAGTCCAACTGGCCTTGGTGAGCTCTCATTAGATCAGTCCCCTTGTATCAGTGGGTGATCGCACCCCTCGCGGTCCTGAGTTTTTTTCATGTTCTTCCTCCTTCTGCCCCTCATTTGGACCATGGGGGGCTCAGTCCGGTGCTCCAATGTGGGTCTCTGTCTGTATCGCCATCCATCGTCAGATGAAGGATCTATGGTGATAAGCAAAATCTTCATCAGTATGGTTATAGGCCAAGGCCGGTTCAGGCACCCTCTCCTCTGTCTAGAGAACAGTCTGGGGATCTCTCCTTGGACCTGGGATCCCATTTATAATCAAGTCTCCTGTAAACCCTAAAATGACTCCCTTAGTTGAAATATATTCTTCCCTGATCTCATATTCATCCTTCCTCCCTCCCCCCATCCCAGTCCACCTAGCTTTCCCCATTCCTCCCCTACTCCCTTCTCTCTAACCCTCTCCCCTTCCAACAACCCTCCCACCCCCCCCATGCACCCGAGGTTACCTGGGACTCTTGTCTATTTCCAATCTCCAGGCAGATAGCTACATGATTTTCAACAGGTTCACCTTCTTATTTAGCTTCTCTAGGATCACGAATAATAGGCTCAAAGACCTTTAATTATGGTAGAATCCACATATGAGTGAATACATACCATACTCCTCTTTTTGGGTCTGGCTTACCTCACTCAGTAAAGCGTTTTCTATTTCCATCCATTTGCATGCAAAATTCAAGATGTCATTGTTTTTTACCGCTGAGTAGAACTCTAATATACAAAGAACTCAAGAAACTAGACACTAAAACTCTAATTAACCCAATTAAAAAATGGGGTACTGAACTGAACAGAGAATTCACAACAGATGAACTCCGAATGGCCAAAAGGCACTTAAGGTCATGCTCAACCTCCTTAGCGATCAGGGAAATGCAAATCAAAACAACTTTGAGATACCATCTTACACCTGTCAGAATAGCCAAACTCAAAAACACCAATGATAGCCTATGCTGGAGAGGATGTGGAATGAGGGGAACACTCATCCATTGTTGGTGGGAATGCAAACTTGTGCAGCCACTGTGCAAATCAGTGCGGCGGTTTTTCAGGAAACTGGGAGTCAACCTACCTCAGGACCCAGCAATTCCACTCTTGGGAATATACCCAGGAGATGCCCTATCATACTACAAAAGCATTTGTTCAACTATGTTCATAGCAGCACTATTTGTAATAGCCAGAACCTGGAAACAACCTAGGTGCCCCTCAATAGAAGAATGGTTAATAAAGGTGTGGAACACATACTGGTTTATTCTTAAAATAGATGTCAGATGTGGTCACAAGAGGACAAAGGAAAAGCTCAGGGAAACAACAAGAGCTTGTTTTACCCAGAATTCTGGAGAGGAGTGCTTACACACTGGGAAGAGGCTTCCACACCAGAAAGACAGAGTACACACCAGGAAGATGGAATGCACACCAGAAAGAGGCTTGCACACCAAGAAAAAGCTTGCACACCAGGAAGAGGGTCACAAAGTGGGGAACAGCAGGAGAGGAAGCTCACCAGACAGGTTGAAGAGGAGACTGGCAGAGTATGAGGGAGCAGCTTACACACAAAAGGTAGAATCGATGGGTGTCTCTTAAGAGCTACTCCACAGAGCTGAACTAGGAGAACCTGTATGGCCAATGCTAACTTAACAGTGGGTCATCTGACTGCCTAGAAGGGATGCTCAAAATTTCCAAGACAGTGTAGCACAGCCATTTAACGAACATGTCTTTATGAGACATGGTGCCAGGTCCTCTTACAGAATAACATTTTACTGAGAAAGAAAAGTATTTAAGTGTGAATATATAATGGTCTCTAGAAACACAAATGAACAAAACAGAGGGCTTATCAGACTGTACACAGATCACCATCAAAGTGCCCTGAACACAGGATGACATGCAATCTCTATTTTGCTACTCTTCTGCTACGGGGCTGAACTGGGCCCGCTCATCCATATACTGAAGACATAACTCCCAAGGCCACAGGAAGTGGATGTTATCTGGAGAAAACATCTTTACAGCAACTACAAAAGGCAGTTAGTCAACACAAAGTCACCACGGTAGTGTGATGGATATTTTTACTTGAACTTGGCACA